GGTAAACTTGATGTTTTCATTTTGCCTTAGTTTTCAGCCAACTGTAATTTTAAAAGCTCTTCACAGTTGGCTGGGAACTTTTGACTAATAGGTGTTTTGCTCTGGCATGGTACTCCTTCACACCTCAGTGGTCACCCGGTCAGAATATCTCAGAATGGTCAAAATAAGACAGTTTGGCAGTTAGGGCCTTGGGTTGACTGGCAGTCTTCTGTTAACACACTAACTTTTCATTTAAATGCTTTATCTTTGTACCATTAAGGGACAGGGATTCAAATTTATGTTAAAATTTTGTCTGGGGTGCAACCATTACAAATAATGAGGAGTACTATTAGTATGAACCAGGTACTATCTTCCTAGGACTGTGTTTGAACATGTACCAGCAATGATAATACATCTGTATTTGCTGCCTAGTGTGGCTAACAAATTTATTCTCTTGATTGTAAAAAACATCATCATAATTTCAGAACTAGTAAAATGTGGAAGATAAAGAGGCAAAATAAGTCCAAAAATCAAGGAAGATACTTAATACAGTTTCTGTCTCATTGATGTATGTGTCTCCTCCACAAATACCACACCGTATTTATTACTGCAGCTTATTTATTGAACACTCCTTATGTGCTTTACTCTGTAGACACTGTTCTAGAGTCTGGAGTTAGATCTGTGAATAAAACAAAGATTCCTGTCCTAAGAATCTTCCTTGTGGGATTCTTGTAGGATAATAAACAAACTAAAATTATATAATAAGCTAAAAGGTTAAACTGCTTTTTTTTAAAGAAGTAAAATGGCAAGTAGAATCTCAGGAGATGTAGATTGCAATAGTAAGAATAAGCTTCATTGAGACATTTGAGAAGAGGCTGGAAGAGGGTAGAGTGATCCAAGAGGATCTGAAGGAAGATGTTCTAGGGAGAATAAACGGCTAGTGCCTGTCATGTTTGAGAACAGCATCCAGGAGGTAAGTGTAGCTGAAACAGAGTGTGAACTAGGGGTAAAAAAAGTAGCAGCTTAAGGCTGGGCATGGTGGCTCACGCCTATAGCCCCAGCACTTTGGGAGGCCAAGGCGGGCAGATCACAAGGTCAAGAGATCAAGACCAGCCAGACCAATATGGTGAAACCCCGTCTTTACTAAAAATACAAAAATTAGTTGGGCATGGCAGCCTGTGCTTGTAATCCCAGCTACTCAGGAGACTGAGACAGGAGAATTGCTTGAACCTGGGAGGCAGAGGTTGCAGGGAGCCAAGATCGCACCCCTGAAACTCCAGCCTGGGTGACAGAGCGAGACTCTGTCTCAAAAAAAAAAACGGGCAGCTTAAGTCAGAGAAGAAATGGAGGTCTGATCATTATTAGGGCTTCATATTGGAAGTTGCACAAGAGATAACTTTTATCAAGTAATGAGACATTAAAGATAACTTGTACCAGGATATCAAGGAGAAACTTACTGAGCTCAGCCATATTGAACCAAATAAATACTTATTGTTTTAAGCCACTGAGTTTCAGGGTGATTTGTTATACATATGCTATTGGTATTCTTGTGTGAGAATAAAATTATACAGCCAGATTATTCTTTTTAAAAATATAGTAAATTTAACTTTTTTTCAAATTACACAGTTCCGTATAATAATATATAAATTCATGTAATGAGAATATAGAACATTTCTATCACCCTCCAAAATTCCTTTATGTTGTCCTCTTGTAGTCAACTCCTGTCCATCACCCCCAGTTCCTAGCAATCACTGTTTTCTGTCCCAGTAGTTTTGCCTTTGCAAGAATCCCATAAAAATGGACACGTACAATTTGTAGCCACTTGAGACTGCTTTCCCTCAGCATGATACTTCTGAGATTCATCTTTGAGATTCTTGCATATATGGATAATTAGTTCCATTTTGTTCAGATTTCACTGTACAGTTGTACCACAGTTTCTTTATCCATTCTGTGAAAAGTCGCTTGTGTCGTTTCCACTTTGGGGCAAATATGAATACAGTCATTGTAAATATACATGAGTAGGATTTTGTGTGAAGATGACTTCTCATTTCTCTAGGGTAAATATTTGGGAACGTGATTGCTGTAGCATATGAATAGAATATGTTTAACCTTATAAGAAATTGCTAAGCTGTTCTCCAGAGTGACTATAGCATTTTGCATTTGCACTAGCAGTGTATGGGCATTCCAGCTGTTCTGTATCTGCATAAGAATTTGTATTGTCAGGTTTCGTTTGTTTTTTTGGCCATTTTCATAGATGTGTATTGTCATTTCATTATGGTTTTAATTTGCATTTCTCTCATGACTAATTAAGATCCTGAATATTTTTTTCATGTGCTATTTACCATCAATATGTTATCTTTGGTGAAGTGCCTGTTAAAATTTCTTACCCATTTTTTTTTAAACTGGGTTGTTTTCTTCTTCTGTTTTTGTTTTTGTTTTGAGAGAAGGAGTTTCACTCTGTTGCACAGATGGGAGTGTAGTAGCTTTTCCAGGCGTGATGATAGTGTGCCACAGCCCTAAAGTGTTGGGCTCAGGTAACCTTCCTACCTCAGGTTCCTAAGTACGTTTAACTATAGGTTTGTGTCAGTGCGCCAGGCTCAGGGTTGTTTTCTTAATGCTGAGTTTTGACAGTTCTTCATATGTTCTAGGTCAAAGTTTTTTGGCTAATATATGATTTGCAAATATCTTTCTCCCAGTTTACAACTTGATTTTCTTTCTCTTAGTGTCTTTCACAAACGTTTTTAATCTTGACAGAGTTCAACTTAATCAGTATTTTTTCTTTATCAGTTGAAATTTCAGTATCATGGTTAAAAAAAAAACTTTAAGCTCAAAAAAATTTATTCTACTTTTTTCTTATAAAAGCTTTATAGTTTTACATTTAGATATATGATCCATTTCGAGTTAATTTGCGTAAAAGGTGGAGGTATAGGTTGTGATTGGGTTTTTTTGCATATGGATGTCCAGTTGTTGCCACGTCATTTGTTGGAAAAACTAACCTTTCCCCACTATTGCCCTTTCACCTTTATAAAAATCAATTGACCATGTCTGTGTGGGTGTGCTTCTAGATTCTGGTTCCATTTTTCTATTTGTCTCTTCTTTTGACAATACCACAATGTTTTGATTACTGTAGCTTTATAGTAAGCCTTAAAAATCAGGTATTGTGAGTCCTTCAACTTTATTTTATTTTTTTTATTGTTTTGGCTACTCTAGTTCTTTTACTTTTCAGTATACATTTTAAAGTCTGTCTAACAACTGTCTGTATCTACAGAAACTTGGAATTATTATTATTATTATTTTTTGAGATGGAGTTTTGCTCTGTCACTTAGGCTAGAGTGCAGTGGTCCAATCTCGGCTCACTGTAACCTCTGCCTCCTGGGTTCAAGCAGTTCTCCCACCTCAGGCTCCCAAGTAGCTGGGATAACAGGCACCTGCCACTGTGCCCAGCTACTTTTTGTATTTTTAGTAGAGACAGAGTTTCACCATCTTGGCCATGCTGGTCTTGAACTCCTTACCTTGTGATCCATCTGCCTTGGCCTTCCAAAGTGCTGGGATTACAGACGTGAGCCACTGCGCCCAGCCAGTCCTTGGAATTTTTATTGGAATGACAGTAGTCTCCCTTTATCCATGGTTTGGCTTTCCACAGTTTCAGTTACCTCTGCAACTGCAGTCTGAAAATAGATGAATACAGTACAATAAGATCTTTTAAGACAGAGGGAGAGAGATCACATTCACCCAATTTTTATTATTTTATAATTGTTCAATTTTATTGCTGTTAATTTCTTACTGTGCCTAATTTATAAGTTAAACTTCATCATATATATGTATGTGTAGGAAAAAAGATAGCATACACAGGGGTAGGTACTATCTGCAGTTTCCGGCATCTAGTGGGGATCTTGGAATGGATCCCCCTGTGGATAAAGAGGGAGTATTATACTTTAAACGTAACGATCATTTCAGGAGAATTGACATCTTAACTTTATGTTGAATCTTCCAGTCCATAAACATGGTAGATTTTATATTTCTTTCATCAGTGTTTTGTAGTTTTTAGCATATGGGTCCTGCACATGTTTGGTTAGATTTATATGTAAATATCTGATTTTTTGGAGCTATTAAAAATGGTATTATCTCAATAACTTTTTCTTTCCAGTTGTTGCTAGTTAATATATAAATATTTCATTGATTTTTGTATGTTGACCTTACACCCTGCTATCTTAAACTTACTTAATAATTCTAGGGCACAGCCAGATTACTTTTTAAGTATTTATAAACTGGGAATGGTTTTACAAATTCATTTTTGCTTTTTTTTAGAATGAAATTTCAAATCTTGAATTGGGAAATTTTCTTTTTCCCACTTTTCTTTCAGCTTTACTTACTTAAGTAGCTTTACTGCTACAGGTTGATTATCCCTTATCTCAAAATGCTTAGGGCCAGCAGTGTTTCAGATTTTGCATTTTTTAATTTTTATTTTAGAATATTTATATATACATAATGAGTTGTCTTGGGGAAAAGATCTCAAATCTGAACATGAAATTCATTTATGTTTCATATATACCTTTTATGCATAGCCTGAAGGTAATTTTATATAATATTTAAAATAATTTTGTGCATAAAACAAAGTTTTGACTGAATTTTCACTGTGACTCATCACATAAGGTCAAGTGTGGAATTTTTCATTTGTGGCATCATCATGTCGGCTGTCGAAGTTTCGGATTGGAGCATTTCAAATTTCAGATTCTTGGATTAGAGATGCTCAACCTGTCGTTAAATGTTTGTATGGCCTGTTGATGGAAGCATCAACCAAAAAACCATCCACTAATTTCAAAGTCTAATTCCTCCCCCTTTGTATAATTAAAGATGGTAATACTGACTAGTTTTATGAAAACTATCATAATGAACATAAACATAAATTTAAACAGAGAGTACAATCAGGATAGTTAATGTTGTGACTTTTCTAGCTGGCACATTTTTTTGCATTGAATAATTGTGCTGTTTCTTCTCTATCATTTTCTTTTTTCCTGTAGGTATTGGGAGAGTTGCTGCTACATCTTTAGGAAATTTGACTAACCATGGTTCTGAAGATTTACCCCTTCCTCCTGGCTGGTCTGTGGACTGGACAATGAGAGGGAGAAAATACTATATAGATCATAACACAAATACAACTCACTGGAGCCATCCTCTTGAGCGAGAAGGCCTTCCTCCAGGATGGGAGCGAGTTGAGTCATCAGAATTTGGAACCTATTATGTAGATCACACAAATAAGAAGGCTCAGTATAGGCATCCCCGTGCTCCTAGGTAGAGTATCAACTTTATTTTCAACTTTTTGTTTCAGGATTGTCTAATCTTAGATTTTGGACTCATATTTTCATCCAAGAGAAAAGCATTCTAAAGCTTGGATTTGAAAGCCTTGTATTTCAAAATTTACATTTTTCTTTGGATTTACATTTAGTAATAAATGACATTAATAAGTTAAAAAATACTTTTCTCTTTAGCCTCAAAAATGGAATCATTGTTCTTATGATCAGATTCTGCTATAATATGCTAGAATGTTTTATTATAGGTATCCAGAAATTGAAATAATAAAAGCATCTGTCTTCTTACACTTAAATTTCTACAAATAATATAGACCTACCCCCTAAGTCAGAATATACTATTGAATTGCTGTTTTTATTCAATTTTAGACATGATTGTATGTTCTGTTTCTTGCTATTACTAGGCAAGAAAGTGAAAATTGGGACTGGACAGAACATTCCAGATTTGTTTAATAAATGTAGCCAGTAATTCTTTGCACTATTTTGATTGATATTGGACCCGTAGTCCTGCTTTGTTGCCAGGCTTTCAGCTCCGTGCTGCCTAATACTGTAGCTAGTTGTCACATGTGGCTGTTGAGAACTTGAATGTGATTAATAAAAATTGAGATGTGCTATAAGTGTAAATACACACTGGATTTCAAAGTACATAAAAGCTAGCATTAGTATAGTAATAATGAAGTTGCAAATATTTCAAATTAACCACATTTGAGCTTCAAAATCTGAGCCACAAGATTAAACATGAGTAAAATATCATCTGAATTTTGATAAATGTTGCTTAGTGTCATCTGACATAATACAGTTTTTTGGTTATAGTGGACATTTGTATTTTCTTAGATAAATACTGAACTATTTCATGCTAAAATAATTATGAAAATACATTTTTGTATTATCACCTGGAAAACTAAGCTTTGTTATTATTGTGTTGCTTTAATTATTTTACATATTTGGATTAATTCAACTATGAAAATCTGTTTTTTTTCCATGATTCCATGTAGTGGTGCCCAATCAATGTTTATTCAACTACTGAGGTTGTTGTCTTTCAAAGAATCAAATTTGTGGTTATGGTTTGTGGTCTTCAGGTGGCAGAGATCATTGCAGTCCAAATAACCAGATTTGAGAGCTTCCTTTTCTGTTCATCATTGACATGGTTTGGCTCTGTGCCTCACCCAAATCTCATCTGAAATTGTAATCCCCATGTGTTGAGGGAGGGATGTGGTAGGAGGTGATTGAATCATGGGGGTAGCTTCCCCCATGTTGTTCTCCTGGTAGTACATGAGTTTACAAACTCATTCTGATGGTTTACAAACGTGGCAGTTCCCCTTTCTCTCTCTCCTGCCACCATGTAAGATGTGTCTTGTTTCCCCTTCACGTTCTGCTATGATTGTAAGTTTCCTGAGGCCTCCTAGCCATGTGGAACTGGCTAGGGTCAATTAAACCTCTTCTCTTTATCGGCTGTGGGTCAATTAAACCTCTTCTCTTTATAAATTACCCAGTCTCAGGTATTTCTTTATAGTAGTGTGAAAATAGACTAATACAATCATCATTAACCTTATGTTATTATAGAATTTTAATAGTTCCTTTAAAGCAGTTTCATAATTAATTTACTTCTCTCAGCAACTTGGTAGAAGTCGAAAAAGGGAAAATAAATGCTGCCCTTAAGCTCACATTTGTAGTATTAATAGCTATCTGGTTGTCTATCTTAGGCTAATCCTTCTACAGAATTCTTGATTTACATTAGGTTGTTTAATCCTGAGAACAACCACCTGTGGTATGAATTTATTATTCCATTCTTACAAGTATGGAGGCTGAGGGTTAGAGAGTGGAGGAGTTTTGCCTACATTTACATAGGTTGTAAGTGTTAAAGCTGAGGTTCAAATCTAGGCATATCTGACTTCAAAGTCCCAATTCTTCCCCAACCCCAGTTGTACTGTCAAATAATATTTTCCTTTGAACTTATTTAAGAAAGAAGAGTTAAAGATATAATTCAGTGCCATTTGCACATTGATCTTTTTAAATTGTTAGCCACAGCATAATCTAACCTTATTTTAATCCCAGTTTAGTAAACAGTGACCTTTTTAATTACACATGCATTGTTTTCTCCCCATTGTGTGTGTGTGTGTGTGTATATATATCACATTTTCTTTCTTTTTTTATATATGTATAAATATATTTATATATATCACATTTATATTCTTTTATATATATATCACATTTTCTTTCTTTTTTTTTCTCCCTTTTATTTTCAGTTCAGGGGTATATGTGAAGGTTCATAATTGCATGGCTTGGGGATTTGGTACAGATTATTTTGTCACCCAGGTAATAAGCATAGTACCTGATAAGTAGTTTTTCAGTTCTCAGCCTTTTCCCATCCTCCACATGCAAGTAGGCCCCAATGTTTATTGTTCCCTTCTTTGTGTCCATGTGTACTCAATGTTTAGTTCCTACCTATTAGCATGTGGTATTTGGTTTTCTCTTCCTGTATTAATTCAGTTAGGATAATGGCCTCCAGTTTCATCAATGTTGCTGCAAAGGACACGATGTTCTTTTTTGTGGCTGGGTAGTATTCCATGGTGTGTATGTACCACATTTTCTTTATCTACATTTATCCGGTCCACCAGTGATGGGAATTTAGGTTGATACCATGTCTTTGCTATTGTGAATAGTACTGCATTTAACATATGCATGCATATGTCTTTATGATAGAATGATTTCTATTCCTTTGGGTATATACCCAGTAATGGGACTGCTAGATTGAATGGTAGTTCTCAGTTCTTTGAGAAATCTCAAAACTGCTTTCCACTGTGGCTGAACTAATTTATATTCCCACCAGCAGTATAGGCATTCACTTTTCTTTGCACCCACACCAGCATCTGTTATTTTTTTACTTTTTAATAATAGCCATTCTGACTGATATGAAATAGTGTTTATTTCATTGTGGTTTTGATTTGCATTTCTCTAGTAATTAGTGATGTTGAACATTTTTTCATACACTTGTTGGTCACAGATACACATAAATCTTTATGTTTGAAGGTGCAGGGCCCTTTCAGTCTGAAATAGACCCTTTTGGCCTCCTTGAGTTTATTTATTAACCTTCAGGTGGTTCAGTGCTTTCCTTAGCACTTTTCCCATATAATATCTCTATCGCCACAGCATACACAGGCTGTTAGAACTAACTAAATCATGGTCTTTGCTTTTTTAATCTCTATGACTTAAAATAGGTCCTAATCAACTCTAACTCCTATATGTTCTTTTAAGTTGGTAAAAGTTTAAAAGCTATCTACATTTGATAGAGATATTGCAAACACAATACTCACTGCTGCCTTACTACATATCTCAAATTTTCAGCCTACAGGAGGAAGAAAACATTCTTTCTTGGCAACTGTCAACCTTTCTGATATGAATTTCCAGCTGATGACTATTTCTTGTGGGAATTTACTATTCTAGTTTTAAGTCTCTGTATAAAGGTTAAAACTTAGTTCCAGCTTTTTTATATCCTCCTTTGAACCTGTTTTTGAAAAGACTAAATACCAGCCAAAAGAAATACCTTAAAAATACCTTATCTTTTAGGTGGCCTAAGTCAGTCTGGACAGAAGGCACATTGAAAAATGCTTAAGTATTATTTGTTCTTTTATAATTTCTTGTTTAGGTTTAGGACCGTTAGCCTAAAGAATGTCACTTCTTTCTTCTTAGTGTTCCTCGGTATGATCAGCCACCTCCTGTCACTTACCAGCCACAGCAAACTGAAAGAAATCAGTCCCTTCTGGTACCTGCAAATCCATATCATACTGCAGAAATTCCTGACTGGCTTCAGGTTTATGCTCGAGCCCCTGTGAAGTAAGTACATTTACAGCACAAATTTGTTTGAGGAGTAAGTGAAGAGCTGAATGGAATCTCTGGGCTTCTTAAGCAAAGTAGTGTCCATGGTTTACTCTTAGTAATATTGGGCTTCTAAGTAATACTTCACTCGAATAAAGGATATCATAGTTTATAATGTGTGAAAATCATTCATTAGAAATATTAGTTCTGCAAACATTTATAGAATCTTCATTTCTTTGTTTGCATATGTCTGCTATTAGGGATACAAATAAAAAGCTTACATTCTCACAGGGAAGATTAATTGGTAAATAAGTGATACAGTACTTGTGAACCTGGGCACAGTGTCTCACACCTATAACCCCAGCACTTTGGGAGACTGAGGCAGGAGGATCTTTTAAGTCCAGGAGTTCAAACCAGCCTAAGCAACATAATGAGAGCCCCATTTCCACAAAAAAAAATTTAAAAATTAACCAGGCTTAGTGGCATGCATCTGTAATCCCAAGTACTTTAGAGGCTGAAGTGGGAGGATAGCTTGATCTCAGGAGTTCAAGATCAGCCTGAACAACATGGCAGGACTCTTGTCTCTACAAAAAATTTAAAAATTACAAGCATGTGTGGCATATACCTGTGATCTCAGCTACTTAGGAGGCTAAGGTGGGAGGATCACTTAAGCCCAGGAGTTTGAAGCTGCAGTGAGCTATGCTATGCCACTGCACTCCAGCCTGGGTGACGCAGCGAGACTGTCTGCACCCCCTACTACTGCCAAAAAAAGGAATGATAGCAGGTGGTATTTTCTTTATTATTTTATTTCTTATTTCTCCTTTGATACCACTTGACCTACTACTATATACTGCCTATGTTTGTATGCTGATTCTAAATCATATGTAGTATCTGTATGCATTTTTATTTTCTTTAAATCTGGAAGAATATGTGCCCAACTGTTAACCTTGGTATTTCTGGGGGTGGATATGGTTGAGAAGAATTATTCTTCCTGTTGTATGTTATTTCTACTTTATAGTCATGTTTAATAAGAAATAGCATAATGAGCTTTCCTTTTGGGGGAGGAGATAGTACTTAAATGGAACTCCTGGTTTCTTACGGAAATAAACAGATTCCTGAAGATTACAGTCTTTTTCAATTCTGTGGTTCTGTGAGCTAACTATAAAACATAAGGAAACTAGCAAATAGGTTGGAACTCTTCCAAAACAGGCCAGACAGACAAAAAGAGAGCAAGTACTATACTACTTTACTGCTTAAAAACTTAAGAGCTCTAGAAGCCTGTTGCTTTTTTTTTTTCTTTTTTTTTTTTTTGAGACAAGAGTTTTGCTCGTTACCCAGGCTGGAGTGCAATGGCACGATCTCGGCTCACTGCAACCTCTGCCTCCTGGGTTAAGGCAATTCTCTTGCCTCAGCCTCCTGAGTAGCTGGGATTACAGGCACGCGCCACCATGCCCAGCTAATTTTTTGTATTTTTAGTAGAGACGGGGTTTCACCATGTTGACCAGGATGGTCTCAATCTCTTGACCTCGTGATCCACCCACCTCAGCCTCCCAAAGTGCTGGGATTACAGGCGTGAGCCACCGCGCCTGGCCAAGCCTGTTGCTTTCTAGTTGATTCTAATTGATGTTTCTGAAGAGGATGGAAATGGTTAATAGTCTATCAACAAAGGGTGAGCGGTTATCTATGAATTAGATAATAAAGAATCAATTACTTATCACAACAAAAAGAGACATTTTTTCCCAAAAATTTTTTTGCCTGTTTCTTCCTTTTGTTTTTTTTAGACAGTTGAGACTCTGAAATTCTGTAATCCTGAAATTCTTTCTTCCTATCTCTCGCAGTAATTTACCAACATAATTTTTGCATATACTTCTAAAACTTGATTTAGAAACAGATTAGGTTTTAAATTTTTATTTATTTAATTTTTGTCAAGTTATGTTCCTGTGTCTGCTCACAAAAGTCTATAATGCTTGGTATAACTGTACTCAAGCTCAACTATAGGATAAAAATTTTAAATTTAATCTTTGGAAAAAGAATTGTCAGGAACGTATTTACTTTCTGTTATTCCTCACACACACACCAAAACACTAGTACTTAGCATTGTGTGGCAGGGGTATTTTTTATTCCAATGGCTTGGCAATCCTGTAGTGTTACCATTGACCCTGCTCTAAATACAGGTGGAAAAGAGGGAAGAGTGGACACAGTGTTATGGTGGGTAGGTGCAAGGGACTTAGGCTACATGGTGATACCTGGAGCTGAGGATAGCAGCACTTTCTGTCTCAAAGTCAGCATCCACTGGAGTGTGGACAGGTTATTTTTGGTAGCATTATAGCAACTGGTGCTTGATGAATAGAATACTGCCCTAGGAAAAACACAACAAAAGAGATGGTAGAAGCATAGACTACTGGAATGGTTTACACCCAATTTTCTGAATGATTTACCTGTGTTTATAAATGACTAAATGTTAAACTTGGGGAAGCAGATTTCTTGGCTAGTTAAGAAGGAAAGAACGGGAGTTTATCCTTTTCAGAAATAGCAGGCACACTTAGGTGATTATAGGCAGAAGCGTAGTAACTGCATAGAAGCAACAGAGGGAAGAAGTTGGAATGGAAATAAGATTTCCATTGCATGTTTTGCAGTTTTTTTCACATCTGTGCTCTTCTTAGAGGGTACTTTCTTCCCCCAAAAGGATTTTCTCTACTCTGAGTTTGTTGCTTCTACCCATAATGGTACTCTTGATGCTGAATGCTGATTGGCAAGTTAGAAACTTGGCCAGGCTTGGTGGTGCACCTGTAATCCCAGCTACTTGAGAGGCCGAGTCAGGATTGCTTGAACCTAGGAGTTCTGGGCTGTGGTGTACTATACCAGTCGGATGTCCATACTGTTTGGCATCAATATGGTGAGCTCCCAGGAGCAGGGATCACCAGGTTGCCTAAGGAGGGGCGAACTGGCCCAGGTGGGAAATGGAGCAGGTTAATACTACTGTGCTGATCAGTAGTGGTATTGTGCCTGTGATTAGCCACTGCACTTCTGCCTGGGAAACATAGGAGATCTCCATATCTACAAAATAAAAAAAGAAGACAGTTTTGTGTCTGAGTGTTTCTGACAGTATCACTCTAATTTATGTTCACAAGTAGTTGAAGTTTCACACTAAAAAGAAAAGAGCTTCCTACCAAAGAAATCTGTATCTATTAATAAATTTGCAGCTCTCAAGTAACTGAGTAAAATTGAGAGTCCAATGAAATATATTTACCTTCCAGTTTTTGCATGTTGTGTTACTGACATTTCTGTTACATATGCTTAAGTAGGAGAGAAACATGTCAAAATGCCAAGTATAGTAGCTCCCACTAACTGCTCAGTATGTTTTCTGTCTCCTTTTTTTGTTTGTTTTTTTCCTTTTTTTTAAAATCAGGACTCTTGAGCCAGTGTCTCCCTTTTTTAAAAATCTCATTTAAAATTATTAGATAGTCCTTTTGAAAGAAAATGGTATGATAAATATCAAAGAACCACTGGGTAGGAAATATTATAAATGATCATTAAAAATAATACTAGAATCGGCCAGGCACAGTGGCTCAAGCCTGTAATCCCAGCACTTTGGGAGGCCGAGGCAGGCAGATCACGAGGTCAACAGATTGAGACCATCCTGGCCAACATGGTAAAACCCTGTCTGTACTAAAAATACAAAAAAATTAGCTGGGCATGGTGGCGTGCGCCTGTAGGCTGAGGCAGGAGAATTGCTTGAACCTGGGAGGTGGAGGGTGCAGTGAGCCGAGATTGCGCCACTGCATTCCAGCCTGGTGCCTGGTGACAGAGCGAGACTCTCTCTCTCAAAAAAAAAAAAGTAATAATAAATAATACTAGAGTTTGCAATCAAAGCTTCCTATTATATCTGCTCTGCAATATGATTTGAGAGGTATAACTTCAGGTACAACTTGCCTTTCCCTAATTCAAGTTCTTTAGTCTTAGTGGATATTAACATTCAAAACCACTACTTTGAATCATGTTGGTCCAAGTTCTCTGCCTTTCTGAACTTTTATTCACTAAACACTTTTGCAAGAGGTAAAGAGCTTCTTTAGGTTTTGGTGTTTTTCATCTTTAAATGAGAATATGAATTAGAGTGCTGTCTTCATCCTATACTGAAATGGGACTGTGTAGGCAACTACTAAAGGTACTATTGCTATGCAGCGATCTACTTACCACTGAAAGACTACTAATGGTCTTCTACGATACATTTGGGAATCCTTCACTACACTGTGAAGCCTTCTACAGTCTGCTTAGTCTCTCATTTTAAAAACAGTTTATTCTTTCCTTCTTGAGTTTTCCTGTTGTACTCAGCCTCAGGAGTACTTAGAGGCCACAAATGATGCTTCCTCTTCATTTCTTCTTCTGTCTTGTTCCTTGTTTGCTGTTGCAAATAGCATTCCTCAGAAAGATCCATCAACATGAATGGACCACCCATTTTTGTACATTATCATTTACAGGCACAGTGTGGTCTAAAGTATTCTTAAGTTCCTGACAAATAACTTTTGATGAACTTATAAAGAGCACACAATATGTTCTTCAGAAATTACAGAAACACTGTAGTGTGAAATCTGTGTTGATGGTTATCTAGTGTTAATATTAGAATAATTGATAATTTAAAGAAATAGATATTCTTTAACTTAAATTGAAATGAAGTAATATTAGCAGTTTTCTCCTTTCCCTAAAAAAAAAATTATATGTAAATAGCAGTTAACTCAGTTTTTTAGAAAAACTGATGTATTTATTTTTAGAAATGGGGTCTTGCTATGTTGCCCAGGCTGGCCTCAAACTCTTAGGCACAGCAATCCTCCCACGTCATCCTCCCAAGTAGCTAGGACTACAGGTGCCACCACTGTGCCCAGCTACTCAGTTATTTTTAATTAAAGCTTATGGTTTGTTTAGTTATAAATAAAGTTGACATTTTAAAAAACAGACTAGTTTCTTGCTAGAAATAGATGTTTATGTATGTGTTGTGAACATATATATGCTTGTGTTTTAAAACAGATATGACCACATTCTGAAGTGGGAACTCTTCCAGCTGGCTGACCTGGATACATACCAGGGAATGCTAAAGTTGCTCTTCATGAAAGAACTGGAGCAGATTGTTAAGATGTATGAAGCATACAGACAAGCTCTTCTTACAGAGCTAGAAAACCGAAAGCAGAGACAGCAGTGGTATGCCCAACAACATGGAAAAAATTTTTGAGCTGATTTTTTAAAAATAAAATTTAAGTTTTATAAGAGCTTTAAAATATTTTCACAGATAGAAAATAGCAAACAAGTACTTTGGTTAATAAACACAGCTTCCTTTGTGGAAATTATAAAATTCTAACTTTACATGTATTTTGTTATTAGAAATTTTCTTTTATTGAACAAGAAAAATTAGTCTATCATTTTAAGAGCCAATATGGCAAACACTTTCAAGTGCTATATATTAGGAAACTGCTTTGGTATTGGATGGAAAAAATGCAGCAGGAAATGTCATTATGAACAAATGTTAAATAGGAAATTATCACTTGTTAACTTCTTATAGCAGTAGTACCTTTCTTTAAAAAAAAAAAAAAAGAATCTGCAGTATTTAAAAAAAAATGTTTACCGCTCTAGTGTGAAATATTTTCTGGAAAGGGATGGTTTAAATATTACCATGAGGTAGTTTAAATATAAAATAGGATTTGAAGCCTTATTGTGATAAATATTTATATATGATGTATGTTTGTCTTCCCTCCTCCAAAGTAAGGGACCCAGATAGGGGACATGGTGGCTCATACCTGTAATCCCAGCACTTTGGGAAGCCGAGGTGGATGGATCTCTTGAGCTCACCAGTTTGAGACCAGCCTGGGCAACATGATGAAACCCCATCTCTACAAAAAATACAAAAAAAACATTAGCTAGGTATGATGGTGCATTCCTGTAGTCTCAGCTACTTGGGAGGCTGAGGTCAGAGGATGGCTTGAGCCCGAGAGGCAGAGGCTGCAGGGTCAAGATTGTACCACTTGCACTGCAGCCTGGGTGAGAGAGCCAGTCCTTGTCTCAAAAAATAAAGAAAGAAATAAAAACAAAGTAAGGAAGCCTTTTAAAGCATGTTGAGAAAATACTTTTTTTTTTTTTTTTTTTTTTGAGACGGAGTTTCGCTCTTGTTACCCAGGCTGGAGTGCAATGGCGCGATCTCGGCTCACCGCAATCTCCGCCTCCTGGGTTCAGGCAATTCTCCTGCCTCAGCCTCCTGAGTAGCCGGGATTACAGGCACGTGCCACCATGCCCAGCTAATTTTTTGTATTTTAGTAGAGACGGGGTTTCACCATGTTGACCAGGTTGGTCTCGATCTCTTGACCTCGTGATCCACCCGCCTCGGCCTCCCAAAGTGCTGGGATTACAGGCTTGAGCCACCGCGCCCGGCCGAGAAAATACTTTTTATTATGAATGGGTGATGGGCATTTTGATCTTTCAGGAGTACATATAAGCATAAGTACCTAGCCTGTTTGAGGAAGGTGTGTGAAACTCAAAGTTGCTAAAATCAACTTTGGTATTTTCAGCCAGGGCTGTTACTGCATTTAGCATGGCTCTGATGAGACAGTGGAGAGTTCCTGACAGCATAGCGTACTGCCTTCTGACAGACTGGATTGAGCTACCAAAAATGACAATCAGGGATTCAAAAAAAAATGTTGGTCATTAAATTGATTTTATATTATTACTTTTTAATCTTCTAAGCATTTGTCACAGGACTTTAAAACCACATATTTCCTTCATAATTTTTCTCCCCTTTTGGATTAATAGTTGTTAAAACTTTTCATAATTAGTGCTGTACATTTGATTGCATACAAATTGGTGATACTTCTAAACTATAACTATAAATCTCTAGAATTCTGTGAATTTCAACATTATTTGAAGTAGTTCTTCAATTACATATACATGTGTTGTAAATATGTAAATACACTTTTAGCTTAGGAAGCCTTCCAGAATACAAGCTACTCCCAGTTATCAGTGAGTTTGAATTGTTGATGAAATGTTAACAGTGTTAAGTGTTTGCTTTTATATAACAAGTTTATTAAATATATTTTTGTGGAAACTAAATGCGTGGTTTTTGAGTCCCTGTTTTAGACATAGTGCTGTATTTCATTTTTCTGTTCAAAAGTCCATAGACAAAGGAATCAATATACTTGAGAGGGGTAATGAAAAGGGGTATTGTAAAACATAAGTATGGCTAGTGGCATTTTATCACTGGGAAAAGGTAATTTGCTGAACTTGTGATCAGACTTTTCTAAGATGTAAGTTTATATATCTTATGGACTCACACACTCCTCTATCTTAATTGTTCTTTCCTGTCACTTATTAAGGTGTAGCCATTTCTGTGACAGTCTTTAGAAGTTACTCTGTTTTGGACCTCCTAGATAAATATTACTTTTTTCATTAACACTTTTTTTCTTCCCTACGAAGTCTGTTCAGTGACTCCACTAGAGATCTTAGTCATTAAGAACTAGAAGTTACCTAAAAGCAGTAGCATATGTTTTGTAAAATAGAAACAAGTTTGTAATGATGTCAACATTAAATGAAATGCATCTTCAGTTTAAAAAGATAAACCTCATCATTCTATGTAACACCTCTCATTTTCAAATTTAGTAAACATTTGTTTTTAATCTTAGGAACCAGAGTACATTTTAATAATCGTTCACATATTAAAAGAATAAACCTATAAAGAATACATTTTTTGTGTACCAAATGAAAAAATATATAATGCAGTGAAACTCACACATACAAAGTGATTTTTTTGTGCATTTTTTATCAAGAGGTTTTATATTCTATTAAATCATGTTAAAGCGATATGTTGTTTTTGATAAAGCAACTGAAAAACTCTTAAATGTGCTTAAAAATAAGACTGTCATATATATAAGATGATACAGATTAAATCAAGCCTGCTGAGTTCTGATGGTATGCTTTAACAAATGGCTATGTGAAATAATTTAAAATATTTTCTGTGGAAATTAAATGAGCATATCCAAATATGGAATATCACATAATTTAATTATAACCCAGTGGCAGAATTTAGTAAATTCAAGCAGAACACATGTACTGTTATCATAAATAGACAAATACTTTATAACAGCATTTTTTAAGAAAAATCAGGAAATCGTACATGTTAACAAAATAGTATAACCCATGCATACACAAATCTGCTTATTAAACACTGAAGTAAAAGAACTAATCCAGTTTGCAGTCTTCAAAGGTGTTTAGTATTTTACTCTGTTCTGATGGAAGTACTTTGAATGTTTGCATGGAGACATAAAACTGAATATTTAATTGACAATTGGTCATGCACCTGTACTTCTTATAATTTGGATTACATTTTTTTCTTTTCTGATTGTTCAGTAGATTCCGACTTTGGTGTAGGAAAGGCTTGATGATACAGATGTCTGTGGGTTGCTGCTGCACTGTAAAGCTTGTACAAAGCCTAGAATAAAAGCATCAAGGTTATAAAACATTTTATCAAATGCACAGATGTAAAATTTTTTCCTTTTTAGTTTGTACTGTATAAAATTTAGCATGTTGAATTGAAATCCTTTTTCAATATATAAACTAATATCTTAAAAGAATTTTCAACTCCTCCATGTGTGCAGTAACACTTTTGTGTATTGACCTTTGTGGTAAATGTTTTATTCTCAGACTCTGCTTCCTTTTACCTTGCATACCTCTTGGAGCAGAGAGCTGCTATTGTGCCCCAGGGGTGTGTTGAGAATTCAAATTGTGAATATTAGCAGTTTTAAATGAATTGTAAGACCTCATAACTTCGGATTGCCAGATAACTATTATACATATGTAGTCTACTTGCTTTCTGGGCTTCCAGTGTTTTCCTGAGTGGGACCAATTTTATTCTCCATCATTTACTGATACAGTCATACAGCTAAGCACATATGGTGACCTGCCCCCAACACACTGGGATTCTTCACTTTATACGCTCTTGCCTTGTTTCCATGACTTGGCTAGTATCTTACAAACCTTATTCAAAAACATTACCTCAGCAAGCTTTCCTCATTTAAAACAACCTCTTATTCTCTGTGGCCTTTTAATGGCATTTAAATCATAGGAATGTCTGTGTATTGCATATTGCTTTATGTAAGTGTTTATAAATAATCTTTGTTTCCTGCCCGCCTCAGCTAGTGTCTAAGATTTCATCCCCTCCTCTGGCTTTCACATACTTAATAGTCGATAAAAACAACTTGTCTGTATTAATTCTGGAGTTTATAAAAAGTCTGAATATTTTTAAAAGCTGGAGATCCATTAAATAGTAATCTGTTCCCAGGAAATTCCATTAATTTTTATCATTTGTGAATCTGTATAGCTACTTTCTTTTGATTTTCTTTTTTTTTTTTTGAATTGGAGTCTCACTCTGTCACCCAGGCTGGAGTGCAGTGGCATGATCTTGGCACACTGCAACCTCCGCCTCCCAGGTTCAAGCTGTTCTGCCTCAGCCCCTGCTAGTGCTGGGACTACAGGTAGCCGCCACCACCCAGGCTAATTTTTTGTATTTTTAGTAGAGATGGAAATTCACTATGTTGGCCAGGATGGTCTTGAATACCTGACCTCAAGTGATCCTCCTGCCTCAGCCTCTCAAATTGCTGGGAATACAGGAGTAAGCCACTGTGCCTGGCCTTGATTTTCTTAAGGCATTAAGTCTGAATGGTACCATCTTCAAATCTATAAATATATATTGGTGCAACATAGTTTCATCTTCCATTATGTTCTCATCCTAAGGCATTCAATTAATTCTAATTCTGTTATATTTTTTTCTCAAGCTTTTACAAAGTTGAAGTTTGATTTTGCTCTTTTAATGAACTTGCTTACTGAATTTTACATAAAATAACTTCTTATTGACTTGTAAATATTAAATGGTATTTGGTTCAAGGACATAATCCAGTTATATGCCACAGTAGAAACTGAGGAAATAATTATGTGTGATCTCTGTAGTTGTTAAAGATGAGCTTTGCTTCCTGAAGATAATGACCTCTAAATGATTTCAGAGTAATAATTTTTCTTAGTGTTAACAGATGATTCCTTCATGGGTGCCTAGAGTCTTTTCTGAGATATGTAGTGTTGTTGCACATGTGCAGTAGGAGAAACGAACACTAATTTACAGGTCAGGCCTGAGGTCTGCCAAGAAAGTTAGAATATGTACTGGCCTGGGCCCTGCTCGAAGTGGTATGCATTACTGTCAGTCAAAAGCCAAAGTTAACAATGACTTCTAAAGTGACATTTAAATACCCTCCAGTAGTTATATTTCCTCAAGTTCATAACTGCTTGCTTTACTCTGCAGTAGAGCAGAGTCCACCATTTCAGAGCTTAAGAACTTTAAAATTTTCTACACACTCAGGAAACAAACGCTCATCATAATAAATTCTTACGGTTTTTTTTGGTGTATGTAGATCAAATCATACATGATGTCTAGAATAAGTTAAATATTTTAAGACCATGTTAAAAATTCACAATTACAAATTTAACTGTTAGAAGTCACAAAAGATTGTTCTAGTCTACATAAAAACATCTTGTAATAGTCAGTTTATAAAATAAGAATATCATAATGTTTACAAATACATAGCTCTGAATTTTAAAAATTTAACTTACCTCATTTGTACTTCCCTGTGCCAGAGGCAGATTAAAAAGAAAAAAGAAAAGTATATATCCTGCTTTATTAACAGTATTATAATATTCAACTTTGCTTACAATATTTGTGAGCATTTAAGAACAGAACAAATACTCCTGCAGATTTTTCCGTTTAGATGACATATTTTATCAGAATCTTTGAAGAACTCAATTCTGTATTCCTCATAGCTTTTAGCATAACATATTCTAGGAGGGTTTTGACATTGATCTCAAGTAACCCGTCTTAAATCTTTTGTAGTTGAGGGACTATTTGAGACAGTGGCTCAGAGGATCCAGTTTTTACTTCATTTCCCATTGTGCTACCACTAGTTTATCTCAGCTAGATCCTTCAAAGGCATGTGATACAATTATGTTATAAAGAGTATATATAAGGTTTTTTTTTTTTTTTTTTTGAGATGGAGTTTAGCTCTCGTTGCCCAGGCTGGAGTGCAATGGCACAGTCTCAGCTCACTGCAACCTCCACCTCTTGGGTTCAAGTGATTCTCCTGCCTCAGCTTCCCGAATAGTTGGGACTACAGGCATGCACCACCATGCCTGGCTAATTTTTGTATTTTTAGTAGAGACAGGGTTTCTCCATGTTAGTCAGTCTGGTCTCAAACTCCCGACCTCAGGTGATCTGCCCTCCTTGGCCTCCCAAAGTGCTGGGATTATAGGCATGAGCCACCACTTCCAGCCATAAGTATGTTCTTAATCCGGGAAGAACTGTAGCTATTACCTGCTGCCTACAGGTACAGAGACAATCTGAAGTAATCTAATATTGCTTTCAGAAGCTTTTACTTAAAAAGAGAATGATAAATGACAATTTACGATAGTGGTTCATATAGCTCCTAACAAAGCTAATGCTAATCAAATCATAGGTTGTGAATAGAAGATAATGTTAACACAAGTCATAATTAGCTAAATAAAAGCTGTTTTTCCATACAACTTTTAACAGATTTAACATTTTTAGAATAGTAAAAAGTAAGCCGGGTGGCTCATGCCTGTAATCCCAGCACTTTGGCAGGCTGAGGTGGGCAGATTGCTTGAGGTCAGGAGTTTGAGACCAGCCTGGCCAACAGGGGAAACCCCATATCCACAAAGAATACAAAATAGTAGCCGGGGATGGTGGCGTGCACATGTAGTTCCACCTACTTGAGCTGAGGCACAAGAATTGCTTGAGCCTAGGAGGCGGAGGTTGCAGTGAGCTGAGATCATACAACCATCCTTGGCCAGACATCTAGCCTGGATGACAGAGCAAGATGCTGTCTCAAAAAAAAAGCACCACTAAATTGATGTATTTTTTTTAAAATGCTGAAATGTTTATTTTAAAACAGTTGTGTAGGACTTCACATATTACACAGCATTATATAGTTGTTTGTATCTGGGCAGGTCATAACATTCTTGATAACAGACCCAGTTCATGTTGATCTGTGTTATTT